ATTACAGTAGTTTTAAGTTGATTTGTTTTTCCAAAAGAGTAGTAGGCTTAAATTAGTCAAAAGAAGACATTTCACATAAAAGTAGATTATAAATAACAGATGTTTATTTAAATTAAATTTATTTTAACATTTATGTATTTATTTCACTTGCTAGTGACAGATATTGGGGGGAAAAAAACAACACTGCAAACATTAGTGTTAGAATTTCAGTTTATCCAGGTATTGGAGTGCAAGATTAAACCATTGCCTACTGTTGGATCAAAAATGCAGTATTGTGTGCTAAAGAAATACCAGCAATCTATGAGGCTGTTTGCTCATCGATTAGATGTGTATTCCAGAACCAAATATCTGGCAACATGAAATTAACAGTATCTCTAAAAAAATAATAATTAATAAAAAAAGTGTAAAAACATTTTTTAGGAAAGAAAAATATTTTTGTTATTAGTAATTTATCTCTGCTCTGGTTTCTGAAATACAAATAAGTATTTTCAGTAAGATATCCTTGAAGAACTAAATGTCTCAAGAGACTGGTAATCACATTTTTGGAGCCTTTCACCTCTAGTTCACTGATTCAAATACAGCCAACATGAAGTAGTGATGGAAAATCATTGAGATTTGAAAGGTGGTTTGTGGCCTGTGTGTAATGTACTGGTATTTCACTCCGTTTCTTAGAGGTTCTTGAAAAGGCACTTGGCACTTTCTGAAAGCACTGAGCTCCTCACAGGAACCAGTCAGGTCTCCATAGAGTCACAGCCAGGGCTGGTTTCCTTGAGGATGACAGAGGCTGAGGTTATCAACTAAAATCCCATTCCAGAAAAATTTCCTCAGTTTGTTGACCTCCTGGAGCAAATTGGTCCTTAGCCACCTGGAAGATCTCACTGGGCAAACGTTTTCTCCATGTCAGGTACCCAGCCAAGCTGGGCTGAACTGGCAGCTCATTCTGGGATCAGCACACTGCACTACTGCTTCCTATACTCCACAAAGCTGGGTGAAAGCAGAGTTTCGTTTTCCATTTCTGCCAATCTGGTACTTTTCATTAGCATTAAATATACTTAATTTAGGAGGAAGAACAGCAGAAAGATGTCACAAAAATTACTGTATTTTTTGAGGGTAAGAGTGGCTTAGTCTCTTTCTTTAGACAGAGGTACATACTAGTTAGGAACAGCTAATAAAATGGCCTTGGTCAAGATCATAACTACCATATTCTAGAAAATCTGTCTGACAATAATTTTTTTCATCAACTGCAAGTTATCTCAGTTCTTTGTTTCTCAGTGAAGGCTTTAAATTATCTCCTTAATGATCTCGCCTCCTTTACACTAGGGACTTATTTTCACAAAAGTCATATATATTTTCATGAAAATATACTCTTTTTTTTTTTTTTTTCCTGAACATTTAATATGTTGTATTAGGAGTTTCCTCAGAGGAAAGAAAGAAGTCTATCTTCATTTAGAACTAAATATAACGTGCAGAAATTAAAGCATTCGTATGTCATGTCAGCTATATAGATTGTCTTCTATGATGTCACATTTGATTTTCTATTTTTGTGACTTTGACAGGATCATATTAAAAAGTTGATTGCACAGTGACAGTTCAGGCTTTGAATTATTCAGCTTTTGAGTGCACTCTTGCAGAAAGACTGTTTTGTATTTCTTGCCACTTCTCAAAAAACTGACATTTAAAAAAATGTAAAAAGAAAGGGAAAATGCTTACTAATAACTAATTAATAACTCAAGCTTGGCAAAGGTAACCTCTTTTAATAGAATATCAGACAAATTAAAATCAGATTAAATATAACATGCAACATATTTGAAAAGTCACTTGAAACATTACTCTCAGGATGACATTTTAGCCCAGAGAAATAGATTCCAATTCATTTTCAGTGGAGCCAGGACTTCCTTCTAACTGAAGAAAACCCATACATTTCTAATCTGGTTTTAGTAACTACCACTGTGATTCTTGTGGTACTTAGTTGAATTACTCCCTCCTTCTCTTAGAATATGCTCAAGCTACTAATGCTTACTGAAACCAATGGAGCTTTTTCCATTTACCTCCCCAAAGGGAGTCTAACCCTTAAAGCTGGAGTCTCTTGGGTAATTTTTGCAATAGTCTTTTAGGCTTTATACTATGTTTTTTCCTATGATAGCAGGTTTCTGCCAGCTTTCTTTTTTGTTCCATTTTGCCTCTGTCTAGTGTTAAATAAGTGCAATCTGTTTGTTCATTTGTATCAAATAACTTCAGTTGTAACCCTTTTCAGTGTCCAAATTTGTCTTTTCTTCATTGCAACTTAAGGTTATTTTTAAATCACTAAGGATATTTTTAAATCATTAAAGATGGAAACATCTACTTTCCCACTTGATTAAATTTATCTAGTCCTTTCATATCAGAACTTTAAAACAAATAATGCCATTTTAAGAAACATGCTATTCCCAACCTCTAGTATGAAATATTAATGGTATCAGATATGAAAATATCATTCAAAGTCAAAATTTTTGTCCAGTAAATATGATTATTGTGTGGTCACAATAAAACTGTCCCCAGCATTATAGATATATATATATTATTCTTTCTCAAAAGAATTATCTCAGGCCTGAGTGCTTCCTGGAAGGGTAAAGTGTAGAACATTCCATACGAGACACAAAATAAATCCTTCCTGCTATGGCAATGAGGAAAAATACAAATGATCTTTTCATGTTCTGGTTCCTCAAAAATGGTTAGCAGAGATGTCTTTGATTCTGCTCACAGAAGTGCCTTGGGAGAATCTCATACTGCTTTTGCTGGGATCAGAATCATGACCACAGTTATACTAAGAAATGTGCTTGCATTCCCTTGGAATTATCTGATGTTTACTCAAGAGTTTAGTACATCATTAAATATATGCATTTTGCTGTTCTTCACCTCTCTTCCAGCATCTCTATATTCCAGCTCAAAGATAACAAGAGTGCCTGTTTTCATTATAAGCAATGAAAATTAGTTACGTATCACTTACACTACATTATTTTAGTTCACCTATTTAACCTGAACATATCTTGTTTCAATACATGAATCACCCTGGGACAGCATTTTTTTCATTCTTAAATGAACAGTTACACATTCATGTTGCTTTCCTACTGTAAGCCAAACTTATTTCAAAATGTACAACTGGAAACAAGATATCCCGATTCAATAACACTTCATTCTGCAACACCAATATCAGTCTGCAAATATTCTGATAGAAATAAAACTATAGGAACTACCAGGACAGGATCTCGTATCCTTATCATTTACTCAATCTCTACCCACGCAAACTCTGGTTGAAGACAGCAAATGGTACCTGTACAAGCGCAGGGGGAAAACTGCAAGGTAATATAGCCCTCTACCAATTTCACATGTTTTTAGCATCCATCCTCCTCAGAGGTTTCAGGGTTTAAACACTTTTAAAAAAACTGACTAAACCAAAATCAAAATCAGTGTGTTTCTCTTGCAGCTGTAGGTGTTTTGATTGAGAACAGGCTGACCATTAAAGGTGACAGAGAAACTTCTTTAATAAGCTTTAAATCTTATTGTTTCAGATTGCCACCAGCTGTGGCAGGTAAAATATGCTGAAACCATTCTGATGAATCTCATACAGATTCCTTTCTGTATTACAAGAAGGAAAGTCATCATCCTGTACAGAAAAGTAAATCTACAGAATTACTAGTTTTCCCTTTTTGCAAATGATGTGTATTACTTGTATGTGAGATACCTTGAATCCCTTTACCCAGTGTGATGCAGGACTAGGGAATTCTTTGTAAGTCAGAAAAAAATCCTATGAAAAAGTAGAGGTGAAACACATGAAAAAACACAAGGCAAAACCAAGGAAAAATTAAAAACAAAAATTAACAAAAAGCAGGAATTGTGTCGGGGGCGGGGAGAAAGAAAGATTTTCCAGTCATAAGTGTTATCACAGCACCAGCTTCTGGAGAAGGGAGCGAAGATTTAGTGTGAATCTTATGTTCATACTTGTTGGTTATTTGGCAAAGAGGCAAGAGGTTGTTTGCTTTTTTTGCTTTTTCTTTTTTTTCTTTTTTTTTTTTTTTTTTTTTTTAAATTAAGGCAGTTTCCAGGTCTTTAACATTACTGTGTGCTAGAGATATAGAATAAAAGAAGCGGTGAGGGCTGCTGCCATAACAACCCTTCGACATGGAATTATTGGGATACAGATAGTTACTATACTAGCTACCACCAGCCGTGTGTATCATGACACATAAAAACCAGAAAACCCTTTTCAGCCACAGCATCCCATCATTTGCACTCTGGGCAGAGAAAGGAGAACAAGCACAGACTTCTAGCCCCCTACCGTCACTTTATTTATTTACTTATTTACTGGGGGAAGCGTTACAAAAGTCTATTTGAGCACTGAGTCCTGCCCGAAGCCATCCCCTTTTCCCTCAGGAAGGGCCGCGCTCCACTGCACCCGCTGGCCCCGGGAGGGGCACTGGGACCCTCCGTCACCTCCCTCCGGGGCCACTCCGGGGAAGCCGCCAATTCTGATGAGCTGGGTCCTCCCTCCCCACCTTCCAATAGTGCCTTGTACAAGTTAAAGCGCTGCCCCCACCCCGAGCCGCCCCTGGCGCCGGGGGCGTACGGACGATGGGGTTCAGGGGTCTCCTGGCCCCGGGTGGGAAGCTGGGCTGTCGGGGTGTATGTGTTACGCTTCCATGCGTGCGAGATCCCCGTGGGAACGGGCAGCAGCTCCCAGGAGGGGCAGCAGCGCGGGAGCCCCTTTCCCCGCATCCCGGCGGATCCGCTAGGACACCCGTGCCGCCGCGCACCGCGGGGAGGGCGCGATCGCGGGCCGGGACCCTGCGTTCCCGGGGGGCCGGGGGCGGGCGCGTTGCCTCCCTTCGCGACTCCCCGCGATCCCCCCGCTCCCCCAGCGCTCATCCCCGGAGCCGCTCCGGGATGGGGGGTGCGGGGGCGGGAAGCAGGGGGAGGCACGGCAGGTGCTTTTCGGGGTGGGGGTGCGGGGCCCGGTGACTCACCCGTCCGAGGCGGGGGCTGCGGGCGGCGCGGCGGCAGCGCTGCCCCGGAGCGCGGGGGGCGGCGGGGCAGGAGCAGCAGCGGGCGCGGGAGCAGGGGGGAGCGGCGGGGCCCGGGCTGCTCCTGGGCGCGCTCTCGCTGCCCATCCCCGGCGCTGCCGCCGTCGCCGCCGCCGGAGGAGGATGCGAGGGAGAGTCAGCCCCGGGCGCGGGCACGCGCAGCGGCGGAGCGGGAAGGGAGGGGGGACCAGGAGCGGCGCGGGGGCGCGCGGCGGAGGGGGAGCATCTGGGAAGCGCGGCGCTGGCTTCTGCAGCCCTCTGTCCTTCGGCTCTTCCATCGCTTCGTCCCTCATTTTCTCATTCTTCTACCCCTTCTCCCTCCATCCCTCGTCCCTGCATCCCACATCCTCCCATCCATCCCTTCTTCACCCTCCATCTTTCCATCCGTCCATCTCTCACCCTTCCATCCCTCCACCCGTTCTTCTTCATCCCTCGTCTATCCGTCCCGCCATTCCTCAGCTCCTCTACTCCCCCGGCCACGGAGCCGCTGTCCCCCACGCGGTGCCCTCCCCGCGTCTTCCGCTGCAGGGTGTCCCCGGAGCGCCCGGGGGGCCGCGGCAGCCCTGATGCCACCCCCACGGCGAGTCAACTCGGCCCCCCTCCCCCCGAGAAGAGCGACCTGCTCCCTTGAAGGGCAGGAGGTCCCCAGCCCAGCTTCCTACTCCCTCCCCCAACCTCTAAAGGAAAAGTGCTGCTAGAGCTTTCCTATTCTGTTCTTCCCTTTTTTTTTTTTTTTTTTTTTTTTTTTTCTCCACGCGGCAGAAGGAAACAAAACGGTGCTGTGGTAGGAAAAAAAAAAAAAAGGCGGTAAACAAGAGGAAAACGTATGAGTACAATAATCATTGACTATATGAAAAACAAACCATACACTAGATTCTTAAAAGCAGTCTTTCAAGCCTGCTCCTGAAACCTAAAGGACTTCTTGTATGTTTATTTAGGATCAAAGTTAAATATCTGAACACTAAAAATAAAATAAAAAAACAGCTTAGAGTAAATGCATTGTGTAAAGAGGAGACCTGTAAATCAGCTGAGTCAAATAAACAAGAGCACCAAAATCTGGCTATCAACTCCTTATCCTTCCTCTGAACTCTCCCTGCATTATATAATGTTGATAAACTGCTGCGAGTACATTTGGGGAAAAGAGATAGCAATGATGAGAGTGTAGCACTTTTTATTAGAGCCCGTTAGCAGCCTTACCTTACAAGGAGTTGCTTCAGAGGTTCATCTGTGCGTTTCTTACCAGCCCTCCAAGTAAACAAATTACTAAATGTTCAATGCAGACATATGATTCCCTGGTGTCAGTGTCTCTGTCCTAGACGTTTCTGAATGGCTTGCGGATTAACTTACTATGCTCTTCTGCTCTGCCTTGTACCAAGAGCCGTGCAGGTATCAACAGCTCCCACTTGTGAAGACAGGGAAGAGAGAGATTGGGTAGATTTCCACACAGCTCCACATTTCAAACTGCTGATTTGCTGCAAGTGCCGTAGTCAGTGTAGGTCTGGTCTTCTAACAGGTTTACTCAGTAAGAGAGGCCTGACCCAAAGTTCACTGAAGACAACACAAATGTTTCTGTGACCATGATGGGAATTGGTTCAAACCACTGTCCACTCACTGTTGGTGTGATGATATTTCTGAGTGCTGCTATTCTAGTAAAAGCTAGTAGGAGCTAGTAAGAACTCCCCGGAAACAAGAAAAATTACTAAAATGTGCATCTTTCTCATAAAATTATTGAGAAAAGGTCAGGGACCTGCTTTCATTTTCCTGCAGCTATTGGCAAAACTATGTACCTCAAGGCAGGTTATGGCCCCTGGCTAGAGAATGTCCTATGGTCTCTGTAGCCTCTCTCTACCAAATACAGTAGGAAAGTGAAGGGAAATTACAGGTCCATTTTTGGACATCTGTAAAACCAGTAAGAGAACTCAGTGTTTCATTTTGAACCATTGCTGCTTGAAACAAAACTCAACAAATTAATTTTTCAGTGTTTTCCTCTTCTCTGATCACAGTCTTTGAATTAGATCTGAGCCCCCATCTAAGATGGAAGTAGTCAGGGAAGGTAAGGGAAACTGGGCAGTGGTAAAGATTTGGGCTCTGCATAGGTAATGACATCAACCTATCTAGCATGAGTGGCAAAGAAATTGGCTTCTTTTTTTTTAAACATAGTTAATATAGGGATTTAGTATATTTAAGGTAGTTTTTAACATAGTTAATTTTTTTTGGTCCCTCTCTTGCCCTGTAGTTGGTGGTACATGGCTTCATCAGGGGCAACTGAGCTCAATCTAATAGTAGCCTGGTAGTTAGAATGAGAAATGAGAGACTGAGCACAAACACTTTTTTCTCTGAGATTCAGAATAGGAAATGAACTGTAGAGGTCCTGTCTTTTCTCAGATGAATGACTTTAGCTCTCCTAGTTTTGACTAAAAATTCAGTCTGCATCAAAGCAAGCTCATATATGCCCACAGAACTGGGTTTCTTTACCAAATTTATTTTGTTGGAAATCGGTCAGTTCTTCAGAAAATTCCAGGGCTTACTTCAGATTCTTGCATGCTCTTTATATATATATGTACAAGTATTTTGTTTATGTACAAAGATTTATCTGTTTTTAAATTATAGCAGCATTTTGCTTATGAAGAATACAAATATTAACCCTTACATTTCAAAGTCATTGTACTGAACTGGTTTATTCCTAGATATGAGGTTTCATCTTACCTACAAAACCTTTTTAATTTCAGTAAACATTTTTTTTTTCTCATTGAAGAGAATATGTAAACCTTTTGTGATTATACTGTTGCTATATAAACTGCCTTTGCAAAAGCTGGTTGCTGAGCTTGCCACCTTAGACAGGAAATATGCTTATGATGTTTTCTGGAATGTTCTGAGAGCACAGTAATAGGTTTTATTCACATAATGGAAAATGTGTGGATATTAACAGATATTTTAAAAGTAAAAAGCATGACACTATAAAGATGAAAAGAAACAGAACAAAATTACAAAAAATAAACCAAAAGAAACAATCTTCTGCCCAGTTCCCCATCTCCAAAAGTTGATATTTATCAAAATCATGTAAAAAAGACAAAGTTTTTTTACCTAAAGTGATCGTAATATTTTTGTGAGACTTTTAAAAGTAACATTTAAGCACTTACCGAAAACTTACATGCAGTTCTGAAATGTGTGCCCTTTCACTGATGTTTCCATAAGTTAGTCTCACCAGTGTTTGCAGGGGCAGGACTTCTCTTTTCACCTGCATTCATTTTGGAGGGCTGAGAACCCGTGCATTTTACTATTTGTAATTGATTGTTGGCTTGAGGGTTAAGTTCATAATTTAAAAATCTATTATCTTTTGACTTACTGTTCTTGACATTCATTAGTTACAGCTTGCCTTAAACTTGGCACTATTTCTGCAGCTTGATTGCCTAATGCCAGTACCTGCAACTGTTCATTCAGGTGTAATGACCTTCATGAGAGCAGTGGCTTGATGAAGTTTGCAAAGTTCTGGGACAAGGAGTAGAATCCTAGATCTGGATGGGAACTGTATCGTACAAAGACAACTGAACCCTGGCTGAGGCCTTGGGTATGATCAAGTTTAAAAAATAACACAAAATATTATTCATATTTGAATCTGAGATAGAACTGTATGCTTTCAGTTTTTACTTTGCAACAGATTGAACACATTTAAGTCTGATACCTGAGTGGTTTAAGTCACTATTCTAAGGCACGTTTATACTGTCTGCTAATGTGTTTATTTTAGACAAAAGAAAATAAACTGCTTAATAAAACATTTTCTATATGGAAATGTAGATAATGGGCTTTATTACAACTGTTTTTTATTCATGGAAGATTTTGGTTGGTCTATTTGTTTTATCAAGGATATATAAAGATTAAGTGAGAATAAGTAATACACAGTAAAATAGGGTAATTTGGGACTTGGTTTTGGTTTTTGTTTTGGTTCTTTTTGTGTATGTGCATAGTAGTATTTTTATTGAGTAAGGCTTTTTGCTAAACAGCAGTTTCACATTATACAGGATAATTAGATTTAAAATTTAGAATTAAATACCTTTTCACTATGACTCATAGGACTGATCCTGAAAACGTGTTTTGCTCTAGCAGGCCAAAATAAAGCAAGGACTTCATTCGTGAATCCAGACTAGTCTGGGTACCACCACTATCTTTAAAGGGACACGGTTTGATGCATCAAAGTCTCAAGCCCCACTGAGCCCAAAGGATGACTGTGTGTCAGCAACAGAATTCTTCATTAAGGGCCATGTCTTCACTAGGAATGATCTAAAGTTATTCCTACAGTAGTGTACCATAGCACTAACCCTTTCCAAAAAGTACAACTTGTTAAGATTTTCTGTCATGAATTTCTTAACAAATTTGATCACCTTCTCTTACCAAATGCAAGGAACTTTGCAGGCAAACTTTCATCAGCAGGTGAAAAAGGAAAGTGTGAGGGAAGAAATGAAATACAGTCACCCCTTTTCCATTACAGGAACAACTCAGGAGAGAGAAGATATCATCAGAAACCAAACATATAGACACTGGTATAACTTTATTGCCATTTTAATCAAATGTAAAAGGGACAAATAATTGAACAAGGGAACTTCAATATACTTACAGATTCTCATAATATGCAGTAAATCTTTACAGTTCTACTCTCCAAGGAGATTCTTGAGTAAATAATAATGACTTTGGCCTCTTGGATAAATGAAGATGGATGTACTGAGGAAAATCTAATTATAGATTTCTTCTCCATTTTTTCTGCCTTGACTCTTATCTTGTGCACCAGTATTATATTGTTGGTACTTCATATATATATATATATATATATATATACACATTTCAGTAAATGTAGGAAAAAGAGAGCATAAAACCATCAAGAGATTTGTTTCTTTATTAATTCAGTATTAAATCTGGTGGGTTTGGAACAAAGAATCTACCGATTTCTTCAAACATTACCTAGTGCTACCAAGTCAATACAGCTACACTGCAAACTAACTCCAGTCTGTTCTGTGTGTCATCAACAGAATTCTTCACTAAGGGCCATGTCTTCACTAGGAATGATCTAAAGTTATTCCTACAGTAGTGTACCATAGCACTAACCCTTTCCAAACAAGGATGCAGCTTATCTTGTCAAAGATATATGTTACATACTTTATTTGATTACCTCTGAATTCAACAAGCTAAACAGCTGAACAAATTTAACAGATAAAAGCACTGGGTTGTTGTTGTGGGTTGTTTTGTTTAGCTTCTCTTTTTTAAATGCAAGTATGCTTATAACAGGAGCTTCTGTAAGACATTTTCATATCAGTGGATCACAAAGCTATGCTCACAGAAGTCTACAATGTAGGCATAAGCTGAATTTCAGATTGATGCTGGTGGTAGAA